ATCTCTAACCAAACTGTTGCCTAACACTCAAAACCCTAGAGTTTTGAGACAAATCATGTTAAACCTTGCTAGCACATACCATGGCCATAGTTAGATTTGGCATCATTTTGAGATGGATTTGGGTAGGTCCCATCGCAAACTCATGTTGGACAAAGTAGTATCCATCGCAAAAAGTATTTGGACAAAGCAGGATCCATCGCAAATCTAACCTGGTAGAACTCAGGTATGTTCTGTCGCAAAATTTCGTGGGCCTACTCTGATTTCAATAGTTTGTGGGATCCACTGGTGGCTCGGGCATCCGTAATGTGAGTAATCCGGATGGCGGTTCTTCTCTAGTAAATTTAAGAGTAGCGCTATATATTGGAAGTAACTCTCAAGCCAAGTGCCAAGTTCAGCTTCTTTGACTCACGGTTTTTTCGAAATGGCTCAATGTTAATTGAACAGATCAGCGCCACTAGTATAACATGTGACCCTTGATTACTTTTGAACCCTTGGATGTGAGGAAAAAACCGTTTTACATTATTATTGAAAGAGAGAGAAAGTTTCGATTCCCTTTCCAAGTAGTAGGGAAAAGGGAAAAAGTGGCAAAATCCGATTCAAAGTAGTACTGGACGGGTTGCAGGCTGGAAAATAGTGAATAGTGAAATAGTAACGGCCCGTCGACATGCCAAAAGTGACCGTTGACGTGCCAAAAGTGACCCGTCGACGTGCCAAAAGTGACCTGAGCGATGCCAAAACAAGATTCCTCTGTAGATTGGTATTGAAAGAAAGAGAAATTTCAAATTTATTAGGAAGCAGAAGGGAAAAAGTTGCGAAATCCTTTTCAAAGTAATAGTGGACGAGCTGCGGGCTGGAAAATAATACACATAATAAAACAGTAACGACCCGTCGACATGCCAAAAGTGACCGTTGACGTGCCAAAAGTGACCCGTCGAAGATTCCTTTTGAGATTAGTTTTGAAAGAGAGAGAAAGTTTCAAATGCCTGAGAAAGCAGTAAGGAAAAGCGAAAATTGGCGAAATCCTCATCAAAGTAGTATTGGCCGAGCTGCGGGCTGGAAAATAGTAAATAGTAAAATAGTAACGGCCCGTCAACATGCCAAAAGTGACCCGTCGACGTGCCAAAAGTGACCTGCCGACCGTCGACGTCGACGTGCCAAAAGTGACCCGTCGACGTGCCAAAAGTGACCCGTCGACGTGCCAAAAGTGATTGGTCGACGTGCCAAAATTGACGTTGGCGGTTTAAACGTTATATTGCGAAGGTCCCTTTATACCCCCCGGGTTCGTTTTGGCATGTCGACGGGCCCGGTTCCGGTGCTTTTTAGGGGGTTCTGACGTTCTAAGTGTTGGATTCAGCAGCTAATTCCGTAGGAAACACAGACATAATTTCGTACCATTTGGCTTTTCCCCCCCATATGATTTGCAAATATTAGCGATCTTTTCTGGAACGCTATGCCTTTTGGTGCTTTTGGGGGTTCTGATGTTCTAAGTGTTGGATTCAGCAGCTAATTCCGTCGGAAACATAGACAAAATTTCGTACCATTTGGCTTTTCCCTCCCATATGCCCATATGATTTGCAAATATTGGGGATCTTTTATCTCTGGGACACTATACCTTTTGGTGCTTTTTGGGGCTTCTGACGTTCTAAGTGTATGATTCAGCAGCTAATTCCGTCAGAAACATAGACATAATTTCGTACCATTTGGCTTTTCCTTCTTGTATGATTTGCAAATATTGGCGATCTTTTATCTCTGGAACACTATGCCTTTTGGTGTTTTTTGGGGGTTCTGATGTTCTAAGTGTTGGATTCAGCAGCTAATTCCTTAGGAAACATAGACATAATTTAGTACCATTTGGCCTTTCCTTTCTCTTTTTATCTCTGGAACGCTATACCTTGTGTGTGCCGGCGCATTTGGAAAACGTTTGATGTTCTAAGTGTGTGTCCATATGTAGATATACATATCATATGTTTTTTATTCAGGCACATGCGACGGACAACTACTTGGAACGTTCTAAGTGTTGGTTTGCGTTCTGAGTGTTGAAAATATGCCTACGTTCTAAGTGTTGAATTATGCCTACGTTCTAAGTAGATTTTTTTTTGGAAGAAAACGGTCTAAGTAATTGTCCGTCGCTATATATATATATATGTATGTGCTTTATCTATGATGTGTAAATTATCTATCTATCTATCTATCCATCCATCTATCTATCTATCTATCTGTCTATCGATCGATCTATCTTTCTGCAACTGCCCGGTCTATCTATAGCTGCCCTATCTTCTGTAACTGCTCTATCTCCGTTGGACTGCTCTGTGTACCTACAGCTGCTCTATCTATCTATGACAACTTATCTATCTTTGACTGCCCTATCATCCAATCTATCTATACATGCTTTATCTACCTATACATAACCTGTCTATCTGTCTATTTATCTTTCTATCTTTCTATCTTATCCATCTTATCCATCTTATCTTTTCTTATCTATCTTCTCATATCTATCCTATCTACCCAACCTTTCGTACCTATCTAATCTATCTAATCTATCTAAACTATTGAATCTATTGTATCTATTGTATCTTTCCTATCTATCTTATCTATCTTATCTATCGTATCTATCGTCTCTACCCTATCTATCTTATCTATCTGATGTATCTGATCTAATTGATCTATGTGATCTATCTGATCCTATCTATCTTATCTATCTTATCTATCTGATCTATCTTGTCTATCCTGTCTATCCTATCTATCCTGTCTATCCTATCTATCCTATCTATCCTATCTATCCTATCTATCCTATCTATCCTATCGATCCTATCCATCCCATCCTATGCTTTGCTATTCTATGCCATCTTATCCATCTTATGTATATATCTTTTCTGTCCTGTCCATCTTATCCATCTTGTCTTTCTTGTCTATCCTATCCTATCTATCCTATCTATCCTATCTTTCCTATCTATTGCATCACCAATGTCTACTCGCTCCTCTAACTTGAAGCCAGTTATGTATATCCAGACAACTGGTTTCCTGCCTCTCACCTATTCAGGTTTCTAAGCAAGTTATAGTTGCTTCAGCATGTGCTTTTCTGCTGAACTTGTGCCAGGCCTTTGAGGTTTGATTATGGCCGGCGCGATGCCATCGTATTGAGACGGACCAAAGCCAGCTGCTAGTGCATGTGCCACTATACCAGCTGTGTTCACTTGAGCATATCCCAGCTCACAGATATAACAGGTACGGCCAAAGAAACCTTCCGCCCGCTCTTGACAAACTGTGTTCCTTCTCCTCGTTTGGCGCAAACGCGGGGCTACAATCGCAAGATAGTTGGATCTTCGGCATCAGCCTGGGTAATGTATCGTTCCCACAAGATCTCATTGATCAGCTTTCTGTTTGCAACTTGTCTCCGTTCAGACCCCTCCAAACTATCACTCCAGATTAGTTTCAAAGCCCTTGTTTCCGTTGATTTTCTTAAACCGCCTTGGGCACGCTCCAGATCCATGTTCATTCCAACACCCTCGAAACAAACTAGCTCCACTTATAATACTCAGGAAAATTCCCAGTTTCCAAAACTTTGAGCTTTAGTTTCTGCCATCGTTTCCAAATCAGCCCTCAAAACAATACTGTAACTTTTTCTTGGAAACATTTGTTTCCAAGGGCTAAAAAAAGTTTCGGTTAAACTAAATATAAATATATATATATAGCATGTTTGTTTCCTATGAAAACAAAGTTTTTTTTTTTGTGGGGTTGATTTGTTTCTCCTCCTGGGGGTTGCAGGGTGGCTGCCCACAGGTTTCGGCATAAACGTTTTTGCATGAGAAACAAACGTTTTCACTTGGGTTGAAACACCGCAGCTTGCTGTATGTTCCCTTTGTGATCCTTGAAGGGTTGTATTGAGATGAGGCGAACACTTTTTGCAGCTATTTTTTGCTGATGTTACCGACTCAGACGAAAATCAAATTTGTTGGTTTGACAGTCTTGCCAAGTTTGCATGAGCTCTGTGTGAGCTAACAGCAATTGACGAGAAACCGGGTCATTGCAGGTTCTTCATACCCTGCTGTCGGCGGATTACATGTATTTGTGGTGCAGGCTCCAGCCCTCATCAAATGCACCAAATGCATCAAAACTGAACAATTAGACTTTGCAATTTTTCTTCAGCAAACTCTTCATGTTCAGCTTAGAATTTTCGGATCATTCCTTCCAAAGTTTGCTTTTGAATTGGCGATTTCAGCTCCTTGCAGAATGGCTCGAAGTGGCTTCAGCGGATTTGTACAAGAAGAAACAGCTTCATGTTTTGTGGACAGATGCTGCTTCACTAGTTTCATTGTGTTGTTTTATTATCTTCAGGTTCTTGGTGATACTCAACTACGTCTTGTAGCTGTAGCTTCTAGACAGTGAAGAAGGCGACAGTTGGAAAAAAACAGGTTTGATTAGTTTTGTAATATTTTCAACAAGGGCCAGGCCAAGCCGGATAGGAACCCGGGCCATGGGCTCAGGCACAAAAGGATGTCCAACAGATGTCTAGTCTATTGACATCCGGTGTTTGATTGTCCAGTGATGAGTGATGTCCAAGCAAACTATAAGCGGATTCAGTGGGAGCGCCGCAGAATACTTGACTGATTTGATGTGAGTTGGGTGCTTCCCCTCGGCTCAAGCAAAAGGGCACACAGAGACAGAACATGCGTGGACTTGCTGTGAAGCCTGGAGAGTTGGGGAGGACAGGTCACCTGGTGATCTTTTGATTTCAAAATGATTTCCGTGCCTTTGACGTCTTTGACACCTTGGACGCCTCGCATTTGATGCCTTTGAAACCTGTAAATGTCGCGTTTAGTGCATGCTATTTCCCACAGTTGACATTTAGAGGTTGCACGAAACGGAACTTCCTGTCCAAAGGACTATGTATTTTCTGACCTTCCCATCCCAGGGGCACCATCCCTTTTTTGATGTCGGGGAATCTTAGACTTGGCAACAAACTGCAACTTGCAACTAATCTATCAACATCTATCAACCTTTTGCACCTTGCGAGTTTGGCCTGCCATGTGACGAGCTCGCTACTGCGGCTGCTGAGTGGATTATGGCTGTCACATGGTCCTGCAAGCTTTGTATGCAACGAAATTCCATGGATTCGGAATCTTGGCTGTCTCTTGAAAGGAATGGTCGGGCATCCCGGAACCTCATACGCCTGTCGCAACGGAGTGCGCAATTGCATTCCATGTTACTCCATGTTTGGGCATTGGATTGCAGCCAGACCAGCTTATGATATGAGACTTGTTCTTTCTCATAACGCTAAGACGCCGCTAAGAGTCCAAGTGTGTGAATCGTGTTTGCATCCCAAAGGACCAGTGCATCACCTGTGGGCGGCCGGCTGATTGGAAGCCCACTCGATCGGGCGAGGTGGAAGTCTACAGGCACTTCTTTGTCGAGTGGAGTCAGAGTCAGAGTCACGCAGATTCCAGAAGCCGGAGAGCAGATGGGATCAGAAACAAAAGTATTCAACGTATCTTTAAGCCATATTAATTCATTATTACATTACAATGTTACAATACATTACATTCACTACATAATACATTACTTTCAGTTTATAGAATGGGCTAACGCCCTGGTGCTGCCGACCCCCTTTCAAGGGTGGAGGAAGGAGAGCGTATGTCCCTAAAAGCTGCGGATTGAGGAAATATATTTCCTGCAAAAGCGTGCCTGTGGCCCAAAAATCACATATAAGCTTTAAGCAGTTCAAGTAGGAACAACATGTCTTGCGGAGAAAGTTCCACAAAGAGAGCAGCATCAAGTAATGTATAAATATAATTTATGTGATCATTGAAGTCATGTTATGCACAAGAAAACATATTTGCAAAAGGCGCCCCATAGTCTAAGATCCACAGCTCCTGGGCGCCGTTTGTATCTTGCCGGTCAGTTTGCGGAGCAATGGCAGAGAAAAGAGACCAACTCCGGGTCAGATCCAGAGATGAAGGCCTCATAACACTGGAGCAGCTGTGCCAGGACTGGTTTTGCAGAGCAAGTTGCATCGGTGAAACACCTCTGTGAAGTGGCGGAAGTGTCGCCAGCACCATGGCGGCTGGCAAACGGCAGGCTTGAAGGCCCTTAACAACAGAGGGCAGTGGCCTGACTGCCGGGTCGAAGCTGCCGCGGACCGTTTTAGGCATTGTAGAGGTTTGAGGGCTGGCAAACGGAAGGCTTGAACGCCCTTAACAACAGAGGGCAGCGGCCTTACGGCTGGCAAACGGCAGGCTTGAACGCCCTTAACAACAGTAGGCAGTGGCATGAGTGCCTGGTCGAAGCTGCCGCGGAGCATTTTAGGCATTTTAGCGGTTTGAGGGGCTTGAGGGCTGGCAAACGGCAGGCTTGAACGCCTTCTAACAACAGAGGGCAGTGGCCTGACGGCTGGCAAACGGCAGGCTTGAACGCCCTCAACAACAGAGGGCAGTGGCATGAGTGCCTGGTCGAAGCTGCCGCGGAGCATTTTAGGGGTTTTAGGGGTTTGAGGGGTGGCAAACGGCAGGCTTGAACGCCCTTAACAACAACAGAGGGCAGTGGCCTGACGGCCTGACGGCTGGCAAACAGAGGGAGTGGCATGAGTGCCTGGTCGAAGCTGCCGCGGACCATTTTAGGGGTTTTAGGGGTTTGGGGGCTAGCAAACGTCAGGCTTGAACGCCCTTAACAACAGAAGGCAGTGACCTGACGGCTGGCAAACGGCAGGCTTGAACGCCCTTAACAACAGAGGGCAGTGGCATGAGTGCCTGGTCGAAGCTGCTGCGGAGCATTTTAGGGGTTTTAGGGGTTTGAGGGCTGGCAAACGGCAGGCGTGAACGCCTTTAAACACAGAGGGTAGTGGCCTGACGGCTGGCAAACAGAGGGAGGTGGCATGAGTACCTGGTCGAAGCTCCCGCGGAGCAGTTCAAGGGTTTTAGGGTTTGAGGGCTGGCAAACGGCAGGCTTGAACGCCCTTAACAACAGAGGGCAGTGGCCTTACGGCTGGCAAGCACCAGGCTTGAACGCCCTTAACAACAGAGGGCAGTGGCCTGACGCCTGGCAAACGGCAGGCTTGAACGCCCTTAACAACAGAGGGCAGTGGCATGAGTGCCTGGTCCAAGCTGCCGCGGAGCATTTTGGGGTTTGAGGGCTGGCAAACGGCAGGCTTGAACGCCCTTAACAACAGAGGGCAGTGGCCTGACGGCTGGCAAACAGAGGGCAGTGGCATGAGTACCTGGTCGAAGCTGCCGCGGAGCATTTTAGGGGCTTGAGGGGTTTGAGGGCTGGCAAACGGCAGGCTTGAACGTCTTTAACAACGGAGGGCAGTGGCCTGACGGCTGGCAAACGGCAGGCTTGAACGCCCTTAACAACAGAGGGCAATGGCATGAGTGCCTGGTCGAAGCTGCCGCAGAGCATTTTAGGGGTTTTAGGGGTTTGAGGGCTGGCAAACGGCAGGCTTGAACGCCCTTAACAACAGAGGGCCGTGGCATGAGCGAAGCTGCCGCGGACCATTTTAGGGGTTTGAGGGGTTTGAGGGCTGGCAAACGGCAGGTTTGAACGCCTTTAACAACAGAAGGCGTGACCTGACGGCTGGCAAACGGCAGGCTTGAACGCCCTTAACAACAGAGGGCGGTGGCATGAGTGCCTGGTCGAAACTGCTGCGGAGCATTTTAGGGGTTTTAGGGGTTTGAGGGCTGGCAAACGGCAGGCTTGAACGCCCTTAACAACAACAGAGGGCAGTGGCCTTACGGCTGGCAAACCGAGGGCAGTGGCATGAGTACCTGGTCGAAGCTGCCGCGGAGCATTTTAGGGGTTTTAGGGGTTTGAGGGTTGGCAAACGGCAGGCTTGAACGCCCCTAACAACAGAGGGCAGTGGCCTTACGGCTGGCAAACGACAGGCTTGAACGCGCTTAACAACCGAGGGCAGTGGCCTGACAGCTGGCAAACGGCAGGCTTGAACGCCCTTAACAGCAGAGGGCAGTGGCATGAGTGCCTGGTCGAAGCTGCCGCGGAGCATTTGAGGGGTTTTAGGGGTTTGAAAGTTTGAGGGCTGGCAAACGGCAGGCTTGAACGCCCTTAACAACAGAGGGCAGTGGCCTGACGGCTGGCAAACAGAGGGCAGTGGCATGAGTACCTGGTCGAAGCTGCCGCGGCGCATTTTAGCGGTTTTAGGGGTTTGAGGGCTGGCAAACGGCAGGCTTGAACGCCCTTAACAACAGAGGGCAGTGGCCTGACGGCTGGCAAACGACAGGCTTGAACGCCCTTAACAACAGAGGGCAGTGGCATGAGTGCCTGGTCGAAGCTGCCGCGGAGCATTTTAGGGGTTTTAGGGGTTTGAGCGCTGGCAAACGGCAGGCTTGAACGCCCTTAACAACAGAGCGCAGTGGCCTTACGGCTGGCAAACGACAGGCTTGAACGCCCTTAACAACAGAGGGCAGTGGCATGAGTGCCTGGTGGAAGCTGCTGCGGAGATTTTTAGGCATTGTAGCAGTGCCTGGTCGAAGCTGCTGCAGAGGATTGTAGGAGTTTTATTAGAAGTTTGAGGGCTGGCAAACGGCAGACTTGAACGCCCTTAGCAACAGAGGGCAGTGGCCTGAATGCTGGCAAACAGAGGGCAGTGGCATGAGTACCTGGTCGAAGCTGCCGCGAAGCCTTTTAGGGGTTTTAGGGGTTTGAGGGTTGGCAAACGGCAGGCTTGAACGCCCTTAACAACAGAGGGCAGTGGCCTTACGGCTGGCAAACGACAGGCTTGAACGCGCTTAACAAGAGAGGGCAGTGGCCTGACGGCTGGCAAACGGCAGGCTTGAACGCCCTTAACAACAGAGGGCAGTGGCATGAGTGCCTGGTCGAAGCTGCCGCGGAGCATTTTAGGGGTTTTAGGGTTTTGAGGGGTTTGAGGGCTGACAAACGGCAGGCTTGAATGCCCTTAACAACAGAGGGCAGTGGCCTGACAGCTGGCAAACAGAGGGCGGTGGCATGAGTACCTGGTCAAAGCTGCCGCGGAGCATTTTAGGGGTTTGATGGGTTTGAGGGCTGGCAAACGGCAGGCTTGAACGCCCTTAACAACAGAGGGCAGTGGCCTTACGGCTGGCAAACGACAGGCTTGAACGCGCTTAACAACAGAGGGCAGTGGCATTGCCGCGGAGCATTTTAGGGGTTTGAGGGGTTTGAGGGCTGGCAAACGGCACCTTAACAACAGAGGGCAGTGGCCTGACGGCTGGCAAACGGCAGGCTTGAACGCCCTTAACGACAGATGGCAGTGGCATGAGTGCCTGGTCGAAGCTGCCGCGGAGCATGTTATTGTCGGAGCTGGCGAACGGCAAGGTAGTGGCAAGCCAACAAAAACAGGCTCCACACCTGCGGTGGTCCCAGGCGCCGTTTCTGCCTTGGTGAAGGCCGGGGTCGGCGGATTCTGGCGGGTCCTGGCGGAAGCGATTTCAATCCTTGGAGAGGCGGCGCGACACATGTTCAGGAGCCGGACCTGTTGTGACTTGATCAAATTCGTTATTTAAAGTTTTTTATATAGTGAGTTTCAAATTGCAAACTCTGGAGTCTCTGGAGTCTAGCTTCCTGACTGACATTGGGTGTCTCAAGCTTGTGGACCGAATGAATTTTCCGCGCAAGCAAGCCCCACACTTTGTGAGCGATTTTCATCATATGTCACCGTACTTTGTCCCATTTTCCAGTCCCTTTGAATGTCTCCACGTTTTGTGTGTGCCATCTGAAATTCGCCTCCACGCCCAGGTACGACCTCAACGGGCAGATGATTCGCCCAGGTGACCTCCCGGCTTTGACATCGGACACAGAACTGTCTTCAATCTCCACGGCACAGAAACACACACAGACGTACATATGTATATACATGTATATATATATATATATATGTTTCGTAAAATGGGGGTATCCCAAAATCATTGAACATCAGAACATTTTAGTATTGAAATCTATGGTTTTGGAGGTCCCCCATGTCAAGAAACCTCCACATATGTATCTATCTATATATATATATATATATATATTGTCAATTCGACAAAGGTAGCTCCAACCTGAATCCCTCCGAGCCCTGCTCGGTCACACCAAATCTTCTCTTTTCCCACCGTGGCCAGTGCAATCAGATCTCGCGGTAGCACCTTCCAGCTAAGCGTCACTGATAGCGCTATGGCGCAAGCTCACAACCCTTCCTCTCCTCAAAATGGCGTTGAGCCACCCCTAGGGCTGCAGTAGACAAACATGGTTGAACTGGACGTGCACATGTGAACGGGCAGCTGAATTCACATTCGTCAAAATTCTTAAAATTCGTTCACCATGTGCATGGCTGCATGGCAATCCGGAGATTGGCATTGTCATGGTGTTGTCCCAAAACCCCTCGTTTCAAGAATTGTAACGTGTCAAACCTGCCAGTGATTCTCATCAAAATATTCGAAACTCAGTGCACAAGTTCTTTTGCAAAGTTAATTGATGAATAAACACAAGATCAAAATTTCGGAACTTCAAGGACGACTTGGCTTTTCCTGGTTCCTAGATTTAGCCACTTAAGGAGGCGTCTGGGCTTTGTGCTTGCATTCACTTCAAGCGTGAACGGGCATCGGATCGAGCTTTCAAAATTTCTGCTTCATCATGTAGACTGTAGAATCCTTGTCTCAAGCATGTTCTCAAGATGGTATTATCCATCACCTTGGTGAGTGCATCTGCAATCTGTGCGGCTGATGGGACCCATCTTATCATAATACCATTATGGATATGTTCTTTAATAAGTTTGGCTTGCAAGAGAGTTCGGAATTCAGTGCATGCTGGTGGTGCGGTCCGGCTGATGAGGTCAAACAGTGACTTGCAATCGGTCGTTATCATGGAGGATTGATCTTTGGGAAGTTGCTTGACAAGTTGAGTGACATTATTTGGTGGTTGTGTGGCAAGAGATTCTTCTTCAGGTGTTAGTGCTGAGAAAGCTGGCGGTAGTTGAAGCAAGGTCTTGTCAGCTCTTCTCCAATCACATTTCACATTGCAAATCCATGCCCAAAATAGGCGAACCCAAGTCAAAATATCCACTGCGCCTGCCAAAGCCATTGCCTCTGCCGACAACGTACTCACTGCAACTTTCTGTATCTTCTTGGAGTGCCAGATTATGGGATTGATACTACTGCGCTGGTTATTTCCAATTCCTTTGTGGGCAGCCATGATAATCATCCCTTGATGTGAGTCTGATGTCTTGGCTGAAGCGAATGAGGCATCCGAAAACGCTACGAACCTCAAAGCATCTTGGTCAATGGGCTGTATGTTGATGGATACATCTGAATGCTGCTTTGCTTCATGGAGCACTCGATTGGCTTCCTGCAAAGTGGATACTTGAGCATGGTTGATACGACTTTGCAACCATCCTAACCTACTACAGAGGTCAGGTCGTGTATTTACAGCTGCATACTGTAGACTTCCTATGACTGCTCTCAAAGACTGTCGTTCATTCTCTGTCACAGGATCATCTTGTTGCAAACGGCGTTCTCTGGTGACCTGAATTGGAACTATGTCTTTGACATACTGAGTCTGAGCCACTGAAATCCCAAAATCTGCATGTTGTTTGATGTGCAAACCCGTGAATGTAAATTCTGTCTTCTTGTGAGACCCAAATTGATACTTCTCTTGGAGTTGTTGCAGTTTCTTCTCAAAAACTGTGGTGCCACAACATAGACCGTCATCAACATGGACTCCAATCATACCAATGGTCTCCTGAGTGTTGTCATCGGACAATATAAACAGGCATGGATCAAACGGTGACTGTTGAAACTGAAGTTCTTCAAGTGTGTTCTTGAGTTCCATGAACCAGAGATAAGGTGCATCCACTCTCCCGTAGGCCCCTTTAAGAAGTTGTACTACTTCAGTTGGTTTCAGTCTGAGTCGTTTCCGCATTTCTTCCGGTGGTTCCATGCCTAAAATCCGGGACCCTTGCTCACTTCCTCGCAAAAACGCCGTCTGAATGTCAAAGCTTTGAATTGTCCATCGTCTTGAGGCCGCCATCTGCAGTACAAAAGTTCGTGAGAGTTTGTTCATGGTGGGTGAGTCACGTGGAATATTTTCAACCTGAGGATCCTCAAACCCCAAAACCACTAGTCGCGCCTTTGGCTTGTACTTCGGTGATCCCTCATGTTGAACACTTCCATCAATCTCTTTCCATGTCAAAATCCATCGACTCCGAAGGATATTTTCTCTAGGTATCTGGTTTCGGGCAATCTTTGCTAGTGTCTCTGTGGTGATCCAGCTTTCAATTTCTTTTGCTTTGGCATCTTGAAATTTCTCACGATCCTCAGTGCTGAGATTGGTCAGCTTGACTTCACTACGCTGGCGTTTTGCTGCTGAAACAAGGAAAGCCATTTCATAGGGCCGAGACTCTTGTCTCCACATGTTGACATCATGCTGACTAATGTCCACTTCCAGTTGCCAGCATTGGTCCACGTTGAGATGGAAAACGGGTTCATCATGAACATACAAATCATCATCATCATCGTCAGGAATTGGAACTTTGGATGGATCTTCGCCACTGGGTGCGGCAATTGCTTCTTGTTCATCGGACGATGTCGACACATTTGGAAGAGGTTCACCATCTGGTTGCTCACTGGCTGGTGGTTCATTTTGAACATGTTGTTGTTGGGGCATGTTGGATGGTATTAAGTTATCGTTATCTTGGTTATTGACCTGTGAGTTATTGTTATCGTTATCTCTGGGCGTTATAGTGTCAGGCCTGTGGCTTTGGATGAGGTTGTGAAATTGAGTGCCCCCATGTGGTGGAATGATACTGTGTAGGTTATGGGTGTTCACTTTATTTGACATTTCTTCATTGGTGGACAACTTCCAGTCTTCCACTGCTGAAAGTGGACGCAAATGCTCCGGTGCGACACGATACAGCTTTTGCCCCATGGTGACCCACACAACATGGTTTCCATCTTGAAGTACCACACGGAGAGGGCCAATCCAGTTTCCATCAGCTTCTCCTTTCTTTTTCCACATCATGACATGATCACCATGAACATAGTGTCCTCTGGTGGGACGACTTCTCTGGAGCAGCGCACGGCGAAGTGTTTGGCTGTTATCGGTTTCTGCAAAAGCCTTTCGAGCTCTCTCTCTCTGGTGGCAAGTTCTTCTCTAAAACGGATGCCTTCAGGGAGATTGGACTCAGCTAACATATGCGCTGCATGATCACTACTTGAAACAATTGACCCTGGGATCTTGGTGGTCTTTCCAAAGACCAAGACTTCCGGTGGATATCCTCTATGTCGGCTCCATTGGTTCTTGGTGTGAGTGGCCATTGACAAAGATATCTCAAGTTTTTCGAGACTGGTAATGCGGTCTTCATGATCCATTTTGGACAAAATTTGTTTCAAGATGGCACCGTGTCTTTCTGCTCGGGAATTCTGCCAATGAGCATCAGTGGCAATTGTTCTGCTTTTGATGTTGTTCTTTTGAAGTGCTTCTAAAAATTCCTCAGAGTTTAACTCAGTGCCGGCATCTATGCATAGCATGTTTGGGGGCCCTGCCCATTGCATCCACCCCTGATTGAGAGCTCTTATGGCATGCATCGCACTATGTCCTGCGGTGGCAACTGCTGTCTGGAACACTGTGCTTTGATCTACAAAATGGTAAAAATGGAACTGCTGACCATCAGCGTTTGTCCAAGTGACACCATCCATAGAAACAATGTCCCCAAAATCGCAGCTGTCATGAATCGCACTGGGCCGGGATACTGTGGGTGCCTTTTGCTCAAGGCAGGTGGAACATTTCAGTTCACCTATGGCTTGCAAAAGCTGGTCAGGACAGCCTAATTGTCTGCAGAATTCAACCAGCTTCGCAGCTCCTGGATGGCCTAGATTTCGGTGCAGCTTCAACAACCAGTTTTGGGTTTCGGTGTCTAGAGCCAGGAATTTTGGACCATGTTTCTGACTGGCAAGATCAATCACCTCAGGACTCATGGTAGCTGGCTGATCAATTTCGGCAGTTGAGGCACGGAAACGTTTGGACTCTGGAGGTCCATTCTCCAAACCGGCGATCTCAGACGCCAGACGAGTCTTGGACGCATCGGCAGAAGCTGAGGACTGAGCCATGGAACTCTGGTCAATAGTTCGCATGTCTGGAACTCTTGCAAAAATAGTCAAACTAACTCGGGCGGCTACACCTTGTCGGCGTAATGCCTTCAGTGACAACCTTTCCCAGGGTTCCCATTCAGAGTCCACCGCTAGGTCTTCATGACGTCGACGGATGCAAATTCGCCTTCGTGAAGGCGCACTTCCTGGTGTCATTGCTTTCGTGGGCCCCATATATCTATCAGTTCCTTGGCACAAAACAACATGGACAACCGTGTGATCAGGGCATAACTTCTGGACAACTTGAATCAATGGACCTGACTCAATGACCAGTGGGCCGACTCTTGGGGCCATTTGATTGGCCATATCCATTGCTGTCTGCCAATTGACGCGAGCAAAGCGTCGTGCAATTTCTTCGGGACTCAGTTTCTGACCTAGTCTGCGCTTCTTTGTGGGATGCGACTCAGCATCATTTGGAGCACCACCAGATCTTACTGCATAGATTGGAACTTCCTGACCTTTGTCATACAGCATAATCTTGGCCAACTGTCTGGCAAATTTCCGGGGGTAGTGTTCAGTAAAGGAAGACAATGGCATTCTCTGGTTACCAACCTTGGTGCTGCCTGCAATTTGTTTATGTTCATGATTCTGGTTACACCACTTACCATGAATTGCACGATGCACAGCTTGGGATGTCGTACACACGGACA